TATATCAGTTTTTCAGCAGACAAAATCCAAGTGTAAAGTCAGAAATAACCAGGCCAATATGAGGGTTTGAACCTGGGCGCTCAAGCTCAGGACAAAAGCATCTATTTCATGGAGTCAACAAGTGGGTACACAGGCTGGCAATAGTAGGAAACTTTGAGGAATCAAGGGACGCTTCCCCCTTTCAGCAAGGAGTAACTCCGGTCATTACCCCAAAGGCTAAGCAAACATCGCTTTAGGACAGATCAATGACGGCAACATTTTCCTCTCAAATTTTAAAACAAATCCTTTATTTATTATTACACAGTTAGACTTGCCTTTAGTTTATTTAAAACAGAATATTTACCAGTGCCCTTCACTTGTCTACGTGTATTTCCTCCTCACCCCTGGTAGCTGGGACACGTAGGGACAGTGGCACAACTAGAGTGGGGCAATGAGGCCAGCCACCCCAGGTGCTGTCCCTGTATGTGGCAGCTGCCCCAGGTACCCAGCCACATGGTTCTGTCTATGCTCAGGAAGCCTGACTCTCAGTCTTACAGGAGAGCTGCCAGAGCATAGAGAACCAGCTTCTATGCTGCCAGTGCTGTAATCCTAAGCCACTGCTGGCCATGCACCCTTGGTGGGCAGGGGGGAGGAGTGACAGGGCTGGAGGAGAGCACGTGGATGGTAATGTTCCTCTATTGCACACACACTCTGTTGTTCTGTTTTAATGCCTTGGTGCTCTCTGCTGGAAAGAACCTGGAACTTCCTCCCATCCGCATGTTGCTGTCACGAATGCCCCCATGAGAACTGTTGCCAGAGAATGGTCTTTATGCGGTCACATGCAGCAGCCTTTCCTCTTGCTGTAAACATTCAGGTGCAGGGCACTCTCTCGCTGCTTGTCCTCTTGTGCCGTCAGCAATCTGAAAAGAGGTCACACAGCTCAGGAACCCAATGCTGTTGCCACCACCTTCCTGCCCAGGCAGTGATGACCTTTGTGCCCCATCAGCTGGAGAGCGGAGGGAAACAATGAGAGTTGGCCTTGCTTTGGATTTGAGATGAATAAAAGCAGACCAGTTGTGAGAAATTCCCAGAATAACCTGGAAAACGGGGAAGAGTTCAGATATACTAGAAGCGACAGTGTTGTCTCGTGGAACGGGCACTGGACTAAGAAGCAGATCTGTCCTTACTCTGCCACTGACCAGCTCTGTGGCCTTGGCCAAATCACCTCACCTGTTTCCCTTTCTGCAAAATGGTGATGGTGCATCTTTTGGAATGCACTTTGAGATCTTCCTGTTGAAAACTGCTATGCAAAACCTAGGTGGTATCATTGCATTGGATACACAGCAGGATTTCTCAGTCAGTAATTTACTAGCTGTGCTTATGGGGCACAAAATAAAGAAAACTAGAATTTTTTTCAAGTAAATTAAAATTGTATTTTTTCTATTTTCATCCATTTGTCTCTTAAAAAAAGAAAGTATAAAGAAGGGAAAGGGAAAAGGGGGTGGGGACTGAGAAAATATTAATAAAGTTATGGGTGCAGCATGCCTATAGTATAGACAATTGTGGCAGAAGGTCAGTCTTAGGTTAATGCCCCTTCTTACCATGGCCTGCCTCAAGAGAGATTTTTTTTGCAACTTGGCCACAGCTGGAAGAGATACAAGGCTAATTCCACACCTTTTCACTGACCTTGCCATATGCAGCATGGGCTCTGCAATGTTGTAGCCAGTCATGGCGCTGCACTCATAGAAGACAGCCTTGTATTCCTGCCGGAAACAGAGCCAGGAGATAACTTTGCACATGGTCTCTCCCCACTATCCCCACCTCTGCCCAGCAACCAGTGCCCCAAGGAAGGATCCTCACCCCTCTCCAGTGCTTGTAAAAGACCATCCTCCATTTTGTATACATAGTGGAACCCCCTCCCCACCAAAGGTCTTGTGGGATGCTAATGAATTATAGGATTCATGCAGACTGCCTATATGGAGGATATGCCAGTGTCTCATCCCACAAGTAGAATGAGCAAGAGGATGTATCCCCCTGCTAATATCCATGAATGGGGCTTTCTCTTTGAGGAACTGAGGGCCTGCTCCTCACAAAGGGCCTAGAGGGAGCATTGAGTCTTTAGTAGTTGGGAAGAAGGAGGGAGTTTAACATATTTGTGAAACACTAATATGTGCTTTGGGCATCTTCTCTCTCAAAGTGCCTTCATCACCAGCTGGGCTATGGAGCATGCAACATTCCAGGTCATGGACTGGTTCATTTAAGAGCACCTCATACTCCACTAGACACTTCCACTAAACAGCTCCATGCATCAAGGCCCAGTGAAGAAGCTTCTAAGCCAGAGGTGGGCAATTATTTCGGGTGGAGGGCCGCTTACTGAGTTTTGGCAAGCCATTGAGGGTCACATGACAGGTGGCTGGGGGCAGATAAATATTACTTTTCAAAATTTTTTAGGGGCCCCACAGGCCAGCTAGAATGGCCTGGCAGGTCACATCTGGCCCGCGGGCCACATTTTGCCCACCCCAGTTCTAAGCTAAGGGGACATAGGTACTACAGGGCATTGAAACCAAGGGGGAAAAAACAAACAAAAAACCACCCATATTCATAAGCTGGATGTGTCCAGAGCTTCAGTGTCTGAGCTTGCAGATGGGGTCATGTAACTAGTTAAATCTCCATCATCTTTCTGAAAAAACTGAGAACTGCACACAGTCCAAAGAGGAAAAGGCTAGTGGTCCCTTGTAAACTGACATCCAACACTTATGGGCAATTTGGCACCAGTGAAATCAGTGGTAATTCAGTCATGGATCTCCATGGGGGCAAAAATCACACCCTGCAACCATGGTGAATACAGAAACACCTCCCTCCCGTTTCCTAAATAGGACAATGAGCATGAAAGCCAGAATGGAGCAAGCTTTACAGAGCCCTTAGAGCAGAGGACAGCATTCAGAGCCACACCACCTTTGCCAGCCTCTCGCCCTCCAGCTTAGGCACATCGTGGGTCTCTTGTTCTACTGCATCCACTTTGTTTCCTAGCAGAAAGATCACAGCTCCATCCTCAATCCCTTCCTGCAGAACAGAACAAGGCTCCTTTGAGAACCATCAAAAGGAAACGAGCCTCATGGAGCTGATCCCATTTGGGCAGACACAGAGAAGAGCTTTGCTATGGATATCAGTGGAAATGGGAGCAGCCCCTGAAATTATTACCAAAATTCCACCAAACTCAGTTTATTTAGAGGAATGAGTCTGGAAGCTCCAACTGGGACACCGTGGAAAGAAATTTAACTTCTAGGATTCCAAGTGGTTCCCGAGTCCGAGCATTTGATTCAACCAGATTTAATGCTAATTTTTTTTTAGTGGCAAGGAATAGGTTGTTTTGCACCCATTTTCTTGACTTAAGAACAAGAAGGAAAAAAGTTGGCCCTACTGGACCTGTGGGAATTAAAAAGTCTTGCCGCATTTTCCTTTAGCGCCTGTATTTTCTTGATGTGAAGCTATTCATTTTGAGGTCTCTGGAATGGGTTTTGCTCTTACCTGAATATTACTCATCCAGTTCCGCACTGCTGTGAAGCTGCACTCAGCAGTGACATCATACATCACCAAGATGCCATCCGCCTTTCGGAAATACTGCTTTGTAATGCTCCGAAATCTAAAGGCAAACAAAAGGAGACTTACAGAACCTGCACTGTTATTAACCAGGAAACAAAAAATACCCCATTCTTAAATAGGCCTTGCAGCAGTTTCAGGAGGCTCAGTGCTCCAGTCTGTTGTTCACAGGCAGGCATGGGGAAGGCTAAATTCTCTCTTTGTGGAGTGGCCTGAGGCAGCCAGAAAGGGAAAGTGTGTCTGGGCTAGTGGAAGGAAAACAGGATACAAGTCTTCATTTGGGTGAGATGAAAGAAAAGGTATGAAGACCCAGTAGGTGTTTGGGACAAGGAAGCATCCATTGAGTGATTACATCCCAAGGCTTTGGTGGACCCCTAACTTAAAACTTCACACAGTGACTTCAGCTCCTGGTTTAGATGCACCAACATACAATCTTTCCACACTATGGAATACCACACGACATCAGTTCAGCCTCCAAAATCCCAGGAGAGAGTTTCAACCTAATTTAAATGTCTCATATAAAGCAGAAGACGGGGTAGCATTATACCTTATAGACTAGCTAAATCAGAAATGCATAAGCTTTCATGAGCCTGAGCTCACAACTGATTAAGTGACTTTAAGGTCATGAAAGCTTCTGCATCTCTAATATAATCAGCCTATAAAGTACAGCTCTACCTTGCCTTCTGCATGACTTAATACTAACATGGCTAACTAACGACCTCTCTCTGCTCATAGGAGACAGCCACTTTGTGGATGATACAGCAGAGAGAACTGAGCTCTGGTAGAAGCTCCCAGCACTTGGGGAAGTGAGTGGACACACATTTCTAGCTGTGTACTCAGACAGACCCATTGCTTACTGGGCTAAATGGCCTCCCTACAGAACTGTAAGTCAGTGCTTTCAACAGGGACACTTTTGAAAATTAGCTGACAAACCACCCAGGAAGGCCAGAAAACAATGACCTCTTGACTAGATAACCGTGTTACTTCCAAAACTGGCCCTTACCATAGCCTCCAGGGGATGCTGTTTCCTTAAAGGCTGGTATTCTGAAAACTCCCCTGTTTGAGTTTCTGTGGAGTTCAAGGTAAGCTCTGAAATTACTAAGCCCATTATACAATGAAATACTTGCTACATGTACTGGGCATTTGAATCAGCAGTTGTAATCTAGGATCCTCATTTATGCCATATATTTGGCTATATAGCTCTGATTAAGTGTAACCATGTAAATGCAAAGCTAAAAAAAAAAAGATGGTTTTATGACCCAAATCAGGAAAACAGACAAGCCAAGTGCTTTCTGAAGGCATGGGCAGATATAACAGCTGTATCAATATTAAATGATACTGATATAAACTATTACCAGGTAAGTGTGATATATGCATGTTTCTGTGGTGATTCAAGTGTATCCAAAACAGAAATCACTACGACCTCAACCCTGAATTAAACGAGGTTAAAGTTCCAAGATTTAGCTAAATTACAATCATTACAGGATCCTGGCAATGTAGCAGTTAAGTGTAATAGTTGATGCTCAGTCCTGAGAGGCAGCTACTCCTTTTTTAAAGCGGTTAAGAAGCTACACTTGTACACTTATAAAACACATGTTAATGATCCATGGGGCTTAGTAACCTTCTTACGTGCTTTTCCAAGAAGGGGTTATTTCAGGTCCTGTGTTACTCAGCCACAGGTAGCTGAGCTTACAAACAACTCCTTTCCAACAACTCCATCTTGACATGGAGACATACGCAAAAAATTGCCTGAATGGAAATGTCATTTCTCAACATGCATCTGATTTGAAGAGTTCCCCATTTATAGCAATTTTTGAGCTCTACTGAGGACCTTTGTCTTCTGGATTGCAAAATCTAATTTGCCTGAGAGTGGGGTTGCACCTTTGCCCTAAAACAACCGGAAGACCCACATGCTATTGGTCAGCACAAGGTCACATAAGCCCTGTGAACACAATTCCATCCCGAGGGAGGTTTGATGCTGTGGTACATTAAAAGCAAAAATGCATCTTGTTTTAACATTATATGCCACAACTGTATGGCCTGTCTGAGCTCATTTTAAGCTCAGGATTCAAAATGTGATACATGAATGTGAGTGGCATGTACTATTGTAATAAATGTAAGTCACATTAATATTATGTGGATTTTTTCCTTCTCAGATGGCTAGGACACAGGATGGGTTTTTTTGCTTTTGTTACTGGACTCATAACAAGACCAACCCTGTGGCATGTTTAGCAGTGGAACTAGAGGCCCTTGCTTCAATCACACCCAGAGGTACTGTTATATACAACTATTTCTCAACACTCCTGGCATCAGATGTTACTTGCCTGTCCCCCCCAACACAAAGAAATGGACTGATTTAGGAGAACTGAGGACCACATCCCATTACTTTGGGATGCAAGGTTGCTGTGATCCTCAAAGGTCTCCGAAGACTGGCCCTAACCTTAAAGATATGAACAGGTGCCCCAGGTATATGGAAATTCAGAACCTGCTTTGGTACTTGGAGACATCTTTTCTGTGATAGATCCTATGGATCTGCATCATAGGTTCATGACAGAGGCATGAACACAGAACTGAAATGTATGTTTCAGGCCATGGAGTCCAGTGGGGTCCCTGCCTTTGCCAGAAGCCATTTATCCAAAAAGTCCTAAAAATGGTCCACCCCAATGCCTTACAAACAGACACCACACAGCCACAAAACACTGTATGGAAGCAAAACAAAGAACACCCTGAGATGTGCCATGGAGGAGACAGGGCACTGCCAATGCCCCACCACAGCAATGGAATGATGTTTGGGTTTAATAAGCTCAGATGATCCTAGGAAAGGAACCAAGCTCTACTTTGCAGAGGAAGGCAAACCCCACCTTCCCACATGCCTGCCTGTGCCAATCTGACCACATATGGTGATCAGTTCAACTCTGAATGGAAGATAAAAACCTTTGAGCCAGAAACCTTAAGAGATTTTCAAGTACTAGCAGGAACCACTAGTGCATCCTAGTCAATACTCCTGCCTCTAGCTTTGGTCAATGCCCAATATTTCAGAGGAAGGTGGGAGTAAAAAAGAAAGAAAAGAAAAACAGAAGCTGATTGAGACTTCATGGGGGTGGGGGGGCAGTAATTCCCTCTTTGCCTCTATAGTAATCCTATTCATCAGAGGTCACTGTTGTCCTAGACACCTTTTGCATGGAAAGAAATACCTTTTTAACCTTGCATGGGGATAGCAAACACCTACACCAACATATCACTTATTAACCCAATAATACCCCTGTCCTATCCTGCTACCCCATCCTGAAACAGACAGTGAAATGGTTTCTGTGCTAGCTATTGTCTCTCTCTCTAAAGGTTAAAATGAATGTTGTGCTCCAAGGGATGTAATCCAGGTCTGGTGTCTCCTCCATCCACCACTGCCCTATAAAGATCAATAGCCACTCTCTACATTGGCTGTTACATGCTGTGAACTTGGCAGCATGAAATCCAAATCTGGAACAAAAAATGTTTAATTTACCTCTCCTGCCCTGCTGTGTCCCACAGCTGCAAGGCAACTCGTGCATTATCTACCATTAAACTCTTCACTTGGTAGTCGATACCTGTTGGGGGGCAAAGAACATATTGTCTGTGCTCCAGGGCAGGGAGCAAGTATCTTTCTGCATGTGAAAAATATGCTCAGGACATTTGGGGTGCTCCTGATATCTAAAGAAACATGGCAGCAGTAAAGGCACCAGTCCTCCCCACCTCCAGCTATTTTCTATCCTGAATTTTCAGGACTGATAGGAAATGAGAGACCCTCCCCTCTACCCCCACCCAGGGTAATTCAAGGATCACTAAACCACTCTCTGAAGACCACAGCTCTTTCAAGGACTCAGAAAGAACACCCAAAAACTACAATCTCCTTTTGGAAAATCTTAGCCATTACTAGACAATGCAGTCAGGGCTGCACAGAGCATACAGGGGAGGCGACCAGATTAGCAGCACTGATAGTACTGGCATGGAAGGAGTCTGTGCGACTGCCCTGTACAAATACGAGACACAAACACTGGGAACACTTCATGCCGCCTCCTTTTCCTTTTGTTACATCCCTCCTTTCCCAGGCCTGCACCACATTTTGCCAGGGCAGAAGCCCTCTCACTTACCAATGGTTGCACTGATCTCTGCCAAGGACCTGTCATAGCAAAAACGATGGATAAAGGAGCTCTTGCCAACGCCCGAGTTCCCCACGAACACCACCTTGAAGATACGATCTGGGGAGAAGCCAGCTGGATCCTGTGCCTTGAGGTTGAAGGAACAGGACAGGAGCAAGGCACAAGAAAGGAGAAGACAAACTAGTGAAGTTGGAGATGGTTTGTGAGAGTCACAGAACCTCCATCCTCAATAGAAATAGTGGAAAAGGGGCAGGAGGGAGGATAGCAAGGAAGAATCCTAATGTACAAGGCTTACCATGGTTTCCGTGCCAGCGGGTTGCCCTCTGGGAGGTAGTGGAGTACTGTCTAATTCATCTGTCGTTTTTCTACAGCTGCTTTTCAGAACCATCCTTGGCTTCCCCATGTCCCCTGCCATTTGCTGCCTCTCTCTCTCTCTGCCAGAGATGCTGCTCTCCACGTAGCTTGCGGTACCTCCTTTCACCTTCTTCAATCTGGTGCCCAGGAAGTATTTACAGTTCTTCCTGTTAGGCTCTTCCATGGTCATTTCCTCAGGGAAGGCAGAAGAAACATCCCCAGAAACAAGCAGCCTGTGTCAAGCCCCATATGTACCATGTGCAGGGTGAGGAAAGAGTTCCCCAAGAAATCAACGTGATCAAGTTAGCACTCATGGGACACTGATGGGGATTCACATTCACACACATGTAGACTAAACAAGACAGAACACTGCCCCAAAAGGAGAAAGGTGAGGAGTGGAAACAGCATGCCCTGGCCATGTTCCTACAAAACAGAAGGCCCATGAGTGAATCTGTGGGTGAAAGTCACGATCTTGCAAACATCACAGGAGGTTTCAGGAATCTCAGCAACTCGGATAGTGGCACTAGCATCTTGGCCCCAAGTAGGGAACAGATCTGGTACTAAGAAGCTGAATAAGAATCTATTTGAAACAATATTTCAGGACAAATTTCTGCATTGCAATTGAAGCAGCTCAAAAAAAAAAAAAAAAAAAAAAGACAGGGAAAGGAGAATTTGCATTTAATCCACAATCGCTCTTGTTTGGAAGGTTTCTGAGAAGTGGTGTTTTTATTTGATTTTCTGCAATTTTATTCTTTTATTAAAATATTTCCCTTTTCCCATTTCTTCCCTTCCATCCGTCCCCATGCATGTGAGTGGGGTGCACGCATGTGTACAACTGCCTCCATCTGTATGCAAATAGATACGCTCAAAGATACAATCACATTAACCATTAGGGCTGACTTACTCTTTTCTAGCTCAAATGGCAGATGCCCATGTGCTTAGAGAAGAAGCTCCAGAGCCCTGCTCCCCACAGGCATGGAGAACAAATGTGCAGAGTGGCCCTATTCCTTCTCCCCAGCTCCTACACAAATTACCACTGTGCTAGCTCTGCAATGAGTCTCTGTTTAAGTGCCTCAGAGGAAGAAATAAATCAAAGGCTTGACAGACTTTTACTCCAGGGAAGCTTCAGGCCCTGGGAAGAGACATCACACACTCCACTGTAGCATCCGGTAGAGAGCAGTTCTGCCCCAGGAGAAGGGTTGTAGACCTGTGGAATAGAACCTAGGCTAAACTTACATACATCAGACTGTGCGTATGTTAATAGTGGCAATGAGAGAGACAGGCTTTAGAAAAAAAAGGAAAAAAAAATTTAAAAAAAAAAAAAAAAAAATCACTCAGCCCATAGGAATCCTGAGCACATGGAGTGTCTGGGTGGGGAGCTGACCTATGACGTAACTCGTGATATGATTTCCATCTGGTCCAGCTTTCCATAGTTAACGAACTAGGAGAATAGAGAGGTGATGTAGCCCTGCTTGACAGGCATGATCTAATGTCTACTGAACTCAAACATTCCTGTTGGCTTCACCAGATACAATGCCATGGCCAAAGTGGGGGGGTAAAAAAGCATGTACTGTCCTTAGTGCAGTCTACTCTCAGGGAAACATTGTATTATGCCTATACTCAGCATAAAGAGTGCCTTTCACACAAGGCTTCAAGAGATGGACTCAGGAACACAAAGTCTGTCTTATGAAAATGCATGTGCCCAATACCCCTTGAACTGTGAAAATTAAATCAGCTGCCCTCATGCATGCATTTCCTTTGAAAGGCCATTAGACTCCCTGGCGCCTTTTTCTGTACAGTACTTACACAGTACTCGGACCAGAAAAAAAGAAATTAAACCAAATTAAATTATTTGACCATGGAAAGCATACTCCCAAATTTCCTGGGCTTTAGAGATGGGAGAAGGGTAATGGGCATGACCCTATCTCCATAGCCTGATGACATGCCAGCATGAGAAAATGGAATAAGCAGCTGGGAGGCAAAAGCCTCTTTGGAGAAGGGATTTCAGAAAAGCCCCTGAAGACAAAAGCACCTGAATGAGGGGCCAGAACTGCAAGTTCTGCTGCCATTTCTTAGGGAACATGTCACAACCTCTAGAGACCAATGGAGGCAAAAAGGAGAAGTGGGCACCTCTCTTCTTCCCCCCACCACACTGACCCTCCGAACATCTCCCCTAGCTCAGCCCTCCAAATGATTGCTGCATGCTGCTGGCAGCATGCTGAATCTCCAAAAGAACAGCTGCTGAGAAGATCAGGATGCAAGTTTAAACAGCAAGCTCATTTGGTCCCATGGAGCAAGGGCATTTGCTGTTCACAAGCTATCCAGCGGTGGGACTGTTAAAAAGACAGGGCCACATAAAACAGTCCCGTCTCTGATATGACTAAGCAGAATCTCAGCAGGATGGCTCCCCAGCTGGTTGAATGTTTCCATCAGTTTATTTGTCCAGATGCCAGGAGCAAGACTTCCACAAGGGCTTAAATATGTGGCTGAAAAAGGTTGTGGCAAGAACTGTGCAGTCAACAGGCTTGTGACTGAAGATCACCTAGATCAGCAATTAAAGGACAAGCTCATTTAAGCTAGAGGTGCAGAATTTGGCCCACACAATTCCAGGTTATTTATTAAAGTCAGTCACTTGTGACTAGATCTTACAACTTCTGTAGCATCCAGCCCTAAACTTCAGTGAATCTTAGCTTTGAAGGGCCAGCTTGCCATGGGAGGACAGCTTCACAACCTTACCTAGGTTGGGAATGTACCCAGATTTCATCAGCCGTGAGCCCAGGAGCAGTGCTAGAAACCACACGTGCAGACAGGGAGCTCCCTGATGTGTACCACTGGAACCTTGTCCTTCTTGAAACTGGAGTGGCCTCCACTGTTACAGATGTCCCGTCCACACTAAAAGTATGCACCAGTGCAGCAGCACTTACATACCAGCTAAGTGTCCTTTGCATCCTTGGCAGTATGCTCCAGCAGGGTTAGAAATGGGAATGAATATAAAGGAACAGGAATGAAAATCCAGGGTAGCAGTTTTCTTTAAACTAGTGCTTCCACCCGGTTACTTTCCTGCTACGGTGGGAATGCAAGTCTTTTGGACAAATTCCTCCTCTTCCTATTCTCCAAGGAACAAAGTGCTACAGCACAGCACATTTGTGGTCAGAGGGGGATGAAGGAGAGAGGGGGATGAAGGAGAGATCACCCTTGTGATGAAAGGAAAGTGGGATGCAGAAGAAAACCCCAAATCCATTTGAGGGCAATGCAGCACAGACCATGAAGAACAGACAGCCAATTGAGCTACTTTGAGAGGAGTTATGGGCTCCATCCTAGAGGACACCCTCATCATTCTCCCCTCACCCAGTTTCTAAAACACTTGCTCCACCAGCTTCTTCTTGCCACTTTGATATTTTCCCCCTTCATTCTGCTCGGGGTCCCCAGGCTGTCCAGAGAGGAAGCAGTGCTGTGCTAAGATGGGACTCAGCACCCTCCCCTGACTGCCCAAGATTTCACTACCCCCACACCGACATGTAGGTGAGAACTCCCATTAGTCCAGCCACAACCCACCAAGCTCTAACAATTAACCAAACCCAAAGCCCAGCCTTAGCCCACACTGAAGGGGAGTGTACACAGGACACAAGTGACTGAAAGGAGTCCACATAATACATCACACGTGACAAACAACACAGATTGCAGGCTAACCGTTTGACTGGCTTGTCCTCCGGGAGGTATTTTCCTACCACTGACCCTTTCTTCAACAGGAGCTTTTTGCTCTGAGGTGCCTGGAAGTTAAAGAAAGGGGATGAAAAGAGTCATTAGGATTGATTAGCCAAATAGCCCAGTGCTAGACAGCAACAGGTCAGACCCCCACCTCAGCAGTGGCAGCTCTGACATTACTAGGACATGTCAGCGAGATGCAGTTATAACCCCTTGGAGAAGGGCACACTAGAATATGTTTGGATAAATGCCCAACAAGGGGTTAAAAATAATTTGCAAATAAAGTCATAATAGAGACCTTCATGGGGAGTGGGGGTCTTTCATTTAAAAATGAGGAAATTAGGTCCCTAAGCCCCAATTCTAGGAGATACTGAAATGTGCCTAGGTCCTAGCAAGAATAGTGCCACTGCATTCACAAGACACTAGAGGCAGTTATCCCAGTTAACTGGGACCCAAACCCGTTTGTAAAATGAAATTGTTCAGTTAATGAGTGGTTCTCAACCTTTTTTACACTCCAGGCAAAAATGCTTGCTCTGAGCTTTCACTTATTTTTTGACTACAGAAAAATAATAGAGTGATTCTCCTGTTGCAAAATGCTCAGAAAGACCACAGCAGGTCACAATGTTTTTAACACTATGGATGCCTACTTGAAATCTCTGGGTTTCTCTTGTGAATCATATTTGCACAACCAACAGCGCAATATTGGGTGACACACCATGGCACCCTTGAAAGGACATCAAGAACCCTAGGGTGCTGCGGCATCCTGGTTGAGAATCACTGTGTTAACTAAACAGACATGGAATTAAGGTTTACGCGTGCAACTCACAAACATGAATACAAATACTGTTTTCAGTCGATTACTCCAAATCTTTTCCCTCCGTCACTAAAGCAGTTCTCTTTCTGTCAGCAGCCACCACTGATTTGGACAGGCACACCAGGTAGGCTGACAAGCACATCCTGAGTTAAGATAATAGTTTGGGTCATTGACTCTCTCTGTACGGCTGTCACAAACAGAGGTGCCAAGATGTATTGAGGCCCTGCTGAGATTTCCATGCTTTGGAAGACTAAAAGTATTGTCATCACTGAAAAGCTTATAGCAAACCACACTTTTTCCTATGAAAGAGAGTGGTGCTGCTCCCTCCACATGAGCTGGTGACTCCTAGTACAGATATATCTGGTGGCTGTTGCTCATATTCAGTTCTGAACCACAGAGGCTGTCCCTCTCCCTATCCATTCCCACCCTGCTGTGGAGCAGCGGGAGGAATTAGCATCCTGTTCTGGGCCTTCTTGTCACGGGGCATCCGTGCCAGAAACATGTCTGCTGTCTCAGATCAAAGCAATGTACACACAGTCTAGAGGAAGAACGGACAAGAAAACTTCTGCTCAAACAAAGGCAGGGATGGGAGAGAGGGGGGAAAGGCTCTGAAGAGATTATTTCACTTGGGCACCATTACTGCTTTCTACTGTCAGTTCTCATACACATCCTTGTCTAACTGGCCCTCCCACTGCGGTCAGCACTTCCCACATTTCCAGAGAGAACATGAAAAAGCCATTAAGCAGAACAAACAAATATTCACAATCCTCTATCCTCACAACACTTCCATACAGTAGAAAACAAGGGTCCCCCTGCCCCCCTTCCCCCCAGGCAAGGCAGAGACTACATGACCCACCCAAGGTTACACAGGAAACCAGTGGCAGAGAAAGGAGTTGAATGCAGATCTTCCAGATTCCAAGTGCGTGCTTGAACCATCGTATTACCCTTCTTTCCCCTCTGCATCTGGCCACAGGGAGTTTCTACCCACCGAGAGACAATGTAAGAGGGGAGTGCATGGGACAGGAAGGCTAGGAGGAGAGGACTCTGCTGTTCACACATACTAACACTCTTTTGGAGGCTGCTAGGCATGAGATATTTTAGTGGAGGGTGAGGAAGGGGGAAGGAGGGGAAAGGAGTTAAGAAAGCTATAACCAGTTTGAATTTAGGGGGTTTTTTAGTCCCAGAAAACCCCTGTAGGCGGCTCATGGCAGGCCCTCCCATGAGCCACGCTTCAAATGCAGAATCCAGGTTGGGATATTTACTGTTGAGGATAAACTCCCATCTTCAAAAAGAAAGACTCCTAAAAATCTCATTCCAAGGTAATTAAAAAAAAAAAAAAAATATATATATATATATATATATATATATATATACAGCTAGATGCAGATAGCAGCCTGCAGACAACAAGCATTCTAATTACAAATCTTTTCAAAATAACAAACTGAAATCTGTGTGTTTCCTTCCTAGTGAGCTAAACCAAACAGGGAATCCAAAATTTTATTGCATAAAACCAGGGTTCAAATTATGGCAGAGCTTGGGGGGGGCTCAGCCCCCCCCCCCCACCAGGCCTGTCAGCCCCAAGCACACCCCATGCCTTTCTAAGCAGCCCAGATGGTGACAGCTCCTTCTGGCTGCCACTACTGCAAACCCCGCTCCCAAGAGTCAAAGTGTCATTCAAACCCTGCATAAAACAAACATCTTGCCAGATCCTTGCCATGGATGCAAACCAGCAGAGTTAGTTGCTGAGAAGTGATTTCCAAGAGGATGAAGATTTGACTCTTCATTTTCAGAGCTTCTTAAAAGGGAAGCTTGTTAAATAGAATTCAGGTCTATGCCAAAGGGCCAAGCAGCATGGAGTCATGCTGGTTATATATCTGATTACAAAAAGCTGTCCTGTTTAAGGCTGGTTTACAGAAAGGTGAATGCCTCATTTTCAGGCAGCCACCAAGCACACACCTTCCAGCCAGAGGCCACCAGAGCACACCTGGGGAAATCTCATCTCAGGAGGCTCAGATTAGACCCTGCTTCCATCCTACCTTCAAGGATGAAGCAGAAGACTCAGTGATCAGGGTGAAAACATTCAGGGTTTAAACTAAGGAGACCTGTTACATTCAAGTGCATTCTTTAGACCCTTGGAAGCATGTACCTACTCACAGCTTGCCTGGCATTCATATGATGCACCAAGTCCAGTAGTCACCCTTCGGAGCAAATTGACTCATGAGCAATCTATCAGCACAGGGCCCTACCTAGAGAGTAAACATGACCTACTCAGGGCATACTACTTAGGAAAAAGAATGACACACAATTGCCTGGTTTTTTCCCCACTATTAGTTTTTGCCATGCTTTTATTGGCTTGTCAAGTTTGCATAGCTTTGGGTTGTCACACAGATGGCAACACCACAAGCATGACATCACAACTGTACAACACAGAGCTGGAGACACAGTATTCATGGAGACACATGGAGGCAAAGCATTCATGGAGTTTGCTATGGAAGAAAGAAGCGTGCCCTCTGGTTCACATTCCAAGGCTGGCACACTCTGTGCAGTCTGGGTCTCGCTACTGGTGACAAACAGAAGAATCACGTACATTTGGCACCTTTGATAACCCATGCTACACAAACAGAATACGCAAACCTGTCACCTCCAGATCTAAATACCATGAGTCTGAGCTGCTTGAACCAAAATATCAAATTACTTGTGGGTAATGATGCTCAAACCTCTACACATGATCTAGATCAAGGTTGAGTGGCCTGTGGGTGGAATCCAACCTGTAGTCATTGGATCCAGGCCACAAAGCTGGGGTTTCAGCGGCATTCAGCAGCAGGTGACCTTGCTGGTGGGGAGATTTCCCTGTGCTGTACCTCAGCCAGGTGGCAAGGAGAAGCAATGGCAATGGCCAGGGTCTAGTGCTGGCTTGCCTTGGACCCAAGCTGGGCCATTCCATCCCACTGCCAGAAAATGTTGCTGACCACTGGCCTAGATACTAGATGACCATAAAGATCCACTGGAAACATGTCTATAGCAATATTAAAAACTCTTATTAAAGAGCAAGGGATAAAACCCATCACTAAGAAGTGCAGGTAGCCAATGACTCTTGCTCTAGCCACACTAACATGCTTGCTACAGACATCCTATATGCTATGCTGTCCTATCAGAAACAATATTAACCTGTTTACAGAGATGCAGACTTGCACCATTTTTCTGTTTTGTAAATTTAAAAAAATAAAATGCATCTGTTTGCTCTCCCTGCAGGTATCTTCTGCACTCATACAAAAGCCACAGAAAGAGCAGGTGGAAAACATCCCACTGGTGCTGCAGACAAATATAACATCAATCTTCATAGAGTCTGTAGGTTTCCCTGTAGAGCACTACACTAGATCTGTATCCCTCTGGCCCCAGGAGCCATGTTTTACTTCATAGTGAAATGAAAATTTAGATTAGCTGACAGCCAATGACCCCTGGTAGAAAATGGAAATTGGTTTTTAAAGCAGCAAGCTGTTTAAACAAGTTCCATGGCAAACTGAATAGGCAGACCAGGAAGTCCCAAGTGACCCCTAGCTAAGGGCTCACTGCGGGAAAATAAGTCCTTGGTCAGGACAAGCACTCATGGTCCAAGTGTAAGTCTTGTGTTTTCCATTATAATCTAGTTTACCCACGATTTCCCTAGATACAGAATCTCTCTCTGCACCATACCATCTTAGGGCAGGCTTCACCTACCATGGGACTGTCACCACAGCAAGGCATGTCATTTGGGGAGGCTGGATGGGTGGGGGTGGAAGGCCATATCAATGTTGGGATTGTCACATGGTAACTCTCCTCCCCACTACCACTGTAGGGGGCAAAAAGGGTAGTACAAGGGGATCAGGCCTGGGGAGATCTATGGCAGGTAAAGAGGAATGCAGGGCAAGCCTTATGATGTCCTCTTACCTGTTCTCTATGTACCTCAGCTGCAGTACAGCATCTGGCTTATACATTTTAAAGATAACCTAGGCCATCTCTCTCTCACACACCCACCCACCCCCTACAGCTAAATGTTTGAGCTGCTTCTTGTTTGGAACACCTGGCTATTATTTTAATATCTTGGAAGCTGGTTTCCCCTGAACTTGCTTTTCTATGAAGCACGATATTTTAACTCCTAGCTAGGATAATTTAAAACCTGTGCAAAAATGGGGTTTTAATTACAACCTCTGCAGAGCAGCATTCTTCATCTGAAGCTAGAAACCCAAGACGATGCAAATCAGCACAGCCCTGCTAACGTCAATGGAACTACATTGATTTACAGCAGTTTAGGGTCTCCCCCACACTTATAGCATTTTCCTGACCTGTAAGTTTGCATGAGGTAGGAGTTTTCATTGCCACTATTGGCCTGGGGCTTAGATTTTTTTTTCAGGAATATTCCATTTCCAGGTATGTTCTGAACCTCAAGTGCCCCAAGTCCAGAGCAAAAGTGTTTTCCAGGTTCCATATTAGTGTGTACGGATGTTACCCGGATAGGATGGTAACTTTTCATCACTATTACCTCCTTAAGAATAGTTTAAAAAACAAAACACAAACAAAAACCAAAAAAAATGAGACAAGAGACAATCCTGGGGCAGAAATATCTAGAAGGACAGAATACAGCATTACTCTTCTTTTTGCTTTGGAAGAATCTTAAAAAGGAAGAAAGAAACAAATTGTGTTTACTAATGCTATTGGTACTCTAAGAGCACCTCGTAGTTGTCACGGAACCAAGTCTTGCAAGGCAATGAGCAAACAGGATATATCTACAATGCAATCACAGCATCTCATCAGGATGTATTAGCCTGCATTGAGCCATTCTGGGGCAGCCAGACCGCTAGCACAAGCTCACTTGGGGAGCTGTATACCGCTCCATCATCACTTCTGCGATGGCAATGTAGACAGTTCTTCAGAAGACAGACATAGACACTTCATGCCACAAATGACCATGCTTTTTCCTACTTTACTTAATATTAAAAAACAGACCCCCTTTCCATTCCCATTTTTGTGACAGACCATGATGGTGATGTCAGCATAGGCCAAACCTATATGCAGAGAAAGGGATATCCCAAACACTATTACAAACCCATCTGTAGATTCACTGCACTGGGGCAAGAAGCACCTTGCACAGATATGGCCACCTTAGTTTGAAAGAAAAGAAGCGGATGGGAAGGAAGGGTTTCTTCTAGTCAAACAGGTCAGTAAGAAGTCAAAAAACATTCACTGTCCCAGCAACCTGCTACAGTACTTGATGACCAGCCCACCCTGTGGAACCCAGAAACCTTTGCAGTTCATATGGGAAGCCAGGGTATTGAAGCAGTCAACACTGAAAAAGCACCTTTTTTCTCACCTGCATTGGACTCAGCACTAATGTACGCATGTTTATTTAGTTATTTTTCCAGCAGGGGGCAATAAAACATTGAACACACTGAGGACATGCCATCTGTGCAATATACAGCTACTGAGTCAGACTGAGCATCCTGGATCATTCCATACCATCTCCGTAGTGCAGTAGGGACTCCAGCCATTCCAGGGGAGATGAGTGGGTTCTTCCTCCTGAGTTTTAAGCTAAATGTTTTTCATCCCGGAGAGAGTCCAAGCTGGAAGCCTGGAGCCGTGCATTCACATGGGATGGATTCTGGCTGTGACCTTACATAAACTGCTAGAAGCCCAGTACCACTGGTACCACACACACACACACACACTTAGCAGCTTTAATAATTCTTCATTCAGGTGACAGAGACCAGCCTCCCTCCCTACACAGAGTAGTTACTAGGATGAAAGATGTTCTCAAATAAGCCCTTCCTCTTTGCATTTGACTCTTGCCTCTTCCAAGAGCAGCAGCTGCAACTATAGGAACTAAAGTGCAGAAAAGCCACTCCCTGGGGATGACCCCACTACTCTCCACTCCATCTTCCATTGCACTGTAGGCCAAGAAGGGTTGCTGTTGAGTCTCAGTTTTACTGGAACCTGCCCCATTGCCATTTTGGCTTTGACATGCTGAATGCTACTCCAAGCCTCACCTCAGCTGCAGCCCCCCTCAGCCTACACACTGCTGAAAGCCAGTTCATCTCCAGGGCTTTCACTAACAGCCTAACAGCAGGGCTGGGAGAAGACTGGCTTTGTTGCTGGGATGGACCAAAGGGAATGGAGAAGCTCTGATAGAGGATGAATCAAGAGCTGAGGGGGAAGGGAACAAGAACATCCTCATAAACCATGTGCTCCTGTGTACCTCTTGGAGACCATGTGAGAAGATAGAAAAAAACCCTCCTGCCTCAGACAACAGAAGCAGATGAGAGCTCTGCTCAGCGCATCTCCAGGCTGCTGGTGAAGGGGATTAAAGATGTGGCCCATAGTGACCCATAGTGCTGTTCCCCTACAAACCCAGACCCTTCTACTTCCATCTTCATCTACAGCATTAGACCCTCCCCCATTTCATTATTGGCTTGCTGCCAGGACCCTGGGCATGCACACTGTGTAGGACTGGGGCTGGGGGCAGGCTTTCAGCACTGGCAATGGGAGGCAGGCACAGTGGAAGGAAGAGCCAGGCAGTACCACTTGCTGTAAAGTCAAAAAGGTTGCCCAGGTGGCACCAGACTCCTGCCGAAAGCGGACCTCTCTGAGATTCTGCCACCTCATCACCGAGTTTAGCCTAGTCCAGCCTCAGGCAGGGGGGTCCTTCCACACTGGCCTCCTTCCTTTGAAGGCCCTGGGCTTGGCATGTACATAAAAGGTGTTCACTTCCCTGCAGTTTCACAGAGAGCCCCTACTCTGGGGCTCCCCTCTCAGGACTGTCACATTGCTCTTTGGCAATCCCTTTCACATGCCTAATTAAACCAGCATAGCTCTCCCCTAAAGTGAAGAGGTGCATTGAAGTCCACAGTGAGGTGCCTCACAAAGGCCACAGATGTTTTGGTCAGTGTCCCCCGTGGAACTGCCAGAGCCCCGAGTGGCAACAGCAACCGCAGCAGACGAAAGGAGGGTGGTTAGGTATTAGGATTTTCTTTTTTAGACTAACCAGCTTCTTGGCTTCAAAGGCATCTCTCTCATCTCGAAGCTTCTTGTTCATCTCTCTGTTCCAAAGGAAGATAAGAGACACAAGCAGAGATCAATGTATGAAAGAAGAGGCAAAAAAAAATACCCTTATTGCCTGGCAAATGGGATTTGGGGTCTCAGTCTGGATAGTATCTGAGCACCATAGTGGCCCCTTAAACAGCAAGGAAAAAATCAATTCCCTCCACCAGGAATCACTGGATAAATAATATGCCTTGACTTATACAGAGACAATTAGGCCAAAAGGATCACAATGGTCCTTGAGAGGATTCATATATAGCTGAATGTCTGTGTACACACACAGAGCAAGGAAGCACCCTGTCAGGGACCATTGTAATCCTTTTGGCTTATCTATATCGCGCGTGTGCGCACGTGCGTGTAGATAGATATAGCCTGGGGGGGGGAATAGATACACACCTACACAGGGCTATACATGTATTACACACACACACACACACACACACACACACACACACACACACACACACACACAGGGCTCTATATATCTATACCTATCGAGAGAGATAGCTGTGTGTGTACACACACACACACTATTTATATTACACATATACATACACAAAATATATACGCATGCATTCACACACATACACACCATCATGTATTACAACAGCTTTCTGAAGAGAAAGAATCAGACCACAACACTGTTGGCACATGCAGAAAGGACACTCGGACCTAATGTACTAGCTCAAAACATCTTCAGGTACTGGCTGAATAACTCCTTATCCCTATCCTGAACAACACTCAGCTCTGGAAATCAGATAGATGCCTCAGACTCAGAGCAAAGAAGCTGCCCTGTTAGCTGCCAGGTTGTTTTTACCAGTTTCTGCCTGCACTCGGGAGAATGTCCTTTCTCCACCCAGCTTCTCCTCCCCTCTATTCTGAAGCTGGAATTTGTCCAGGCTCCCCATACCTGAGGAGCTCCAGCTGTCTCAGGAGGCTTTGTTTTTCTTTCTGCATGTTCTTAGAGACTCTAAATACATCCCTGAGTCAAGGAGAGAAAATAAGATTAAAACAACAAAAAAAGACTGAGGGGAAAAAAATTCCTCACATGCAAACATGTACTGTACGTTTCTGCCAAAGCTACCAGCCTGGCAGCTGCAACAATAGCTTTACTGACTGGATGCAGCATTAGTTTGAGGGTCAGAAGACCTTGTTTTAAACTAGCTTCACTCTGTTCCACATGGGAGACTCACCTTCCCTCCTTGCATTTCAATTCCCCAATGGTAAAACCTCTGTTCATAAGGTGCTTGGAGCTCTATAGGTGAGCAGCTGCTATGGACAGGCTAAATATTAGCTAAAGCTTGAAGACACACCTGACAATGGTCCCAATAGACAGCAATACACAAATAGATAGCATATACCCTGCTGAGGATGCAATTAACTGGTTGAAGCACATGGAAGAGGAGACCTATTGTGCTGCATACAGAAAGAAAAAGTTCTTTACATTTCTCCAGTGCTTTCCAGTCAGCATCTAGTGACATTAATTAATTTAGCCTCATAATACCTATATTTAGAGAGGTTGTACATAACCAGTAAGAAAACCCAAGATTGGTTTTTTTCAAAAAAAACAACAACCCCCAAATGAGGTAACAAGCTTGTGACAATATGAGAGAATGAAAGCTAAGTTTTCTTCTATTCTTTAACCACCATACTTCTCCTTTTACCAAGTTCCAGGTAAGGCAAATCATGCAGAAGCAGCTCACAAGTCGAACCAAATGCTCTGCAACCCCCAGCCAGGCACACCTGTCCTTCTCCTCCTGTTCCATCTGTGACTTTTTCTGAAGCCTCTGCAAATGGCCCCTGGCTACCTCCAGCTCCCACTTATTTTTCTCCAGTTGCTCCAGAAGGCTTTCATTCAGGTGTCTGAGCCGCTCATTCTGCACTCGGGTCTCCAGTTGCTCCGAGTTCAGTGACTGCAGCTGGTGTTCTAGCTGTGAAAGCAGAATGAGAGAAACAGAGAGAGACAGCGAGAAGACAAAAAGTTTTTAAATAATGAATCACGTACCAGACTTGAGCTGCCATAATTGTAAAACAGGCCAGAAGAGCACCACACATACACACATGCAATGCCATTGAGGAGATGGTCCAGAGGCCACACAAAAAGGTTAGCATTATATACCAGGGGACTTATGGCAAGAAGCTGGGAAACTCAAAACCTGTGACCTGTACTCACCTATTGACTCCTTGCATCACTACACTGGATTTACAATCTCACCCTAGCACACAAATGACCAAGTCACACCCTGATGTGGAACAGAAGTAGCAAAAACAGTATGGAGAAGAGTCAGGGATGGAGGAACAGCAGTAATTCTGCTGATCTTTGATCCAGAAGAGGTCTTTACTATCAGCAACTAACACTCCCGGTCATTGTAATGAAACCCAACATGCCAGGTGCTATGGAAAAGAAAGTATATACTAAGTTTTAGATATTGGATGGATACACACAGATACATGGAGGAATACATGGAGAAAACACTGTTCAGCAGCACCACTTTCATTTAGATTAGCGGGTTTGGGGTTTTTCTTGCTTAGGAGCTGTCACATGATCACAGCAAGGGCCTGGAAGATTTCCTGCATTTCACTCAAAATCTTACCCTATCGCTGTCAGCTCACAAAATAACAATGCAAAGGGCACAAGAGAATTGGGCACCCTGTTCCCTTAAGTCACCTGGACTGAAAGGGTGGTATGCATCAGAAGTTCAAACACAAACCATTGTCAGGCCTGGACTGATCTTCTTTTAAGCTACCTGGTATTCATTTTATATGAATTATATTAATTTTTACTGTTGTATTGTTTAACTTAGCTTTTTTATGACTTAGCTTAAATTTCATTTTATAGTAGCCTAGAGTTATTATAAATTAAGTTTGTTATTCAAAATAAAACCTTTTTTTTGTAACATTTAGAATGTATGGATGAATGAACGTAGAGTAACTGAGAAAGTACTGTATGTTGTGTGTCAACAAACCAAGTTACCAAATGGTGAACTGTGTTGGGAAAAGGCCAAAGAGGCAATTCTGTACCAGGCAAGGAACCAAGATTAAAAGGCAGGGCCTGCAACGCTTCAAGGCTAAAAGACTCCCCTTTGTGCCAGACACAGCCCACACCAGTGATAACGAAGGAATGTTGTAAACAGATTGAAGAGCATCACCTAAGGACAGTGATGGATGAGCCTGACCACATGTCAGGATGGAAAAGTACTGTGAGTTTGGACAAAGACTTGGTTCCCCTTTTAAAGGGGAGAGACTTAGCAGCAAGGACTTGGGTCTGTTCTGCACAATATCAAGGAGCGTCAGTATGCATCTGACAGAAGGCCTGGCTCCCCCCTCTTGCTCAGCTTAGCTGGTCACTAAGTTGATTCGAGCAACTAAGAACTGGTAATATTTTAACATCTGCAGAACTGTTGGTGTGTCTGTGTGTGTGACTGAGTGCGTATGTGATGTTTTAATGTTTTTATATGTCCAACAAACATGGCATATTGCCTTGTCCCCTAATAAGGATCCTGCTTGTTTAAATTTACTGTATGCCCAGTGCGTACAACACCATGACTGACCCAAGCTTAACCCTGTAACTGGGTGCTTGGCTCAGGTGGGAGCCCAACTGTGGGGGAGTCATGAGTAATAGTCTGCCTGCTCCAGGGCTTGATGATTGCCTGGCCCAGAGGAAGTTAAAAGCTCCCAGAAGACTGTGGTGCTGAAAAGGCAGCACAGAACCGGGGTTGCCCTCTCTAGGTCTGAGGAATGACCACAGGTTTGTTGTTTCTGTATTCATTTGTTTTGTTATTGATATTGTTTCCTATGAGGATAAGTTTATTTTCCCAGAGAAAATAAAAGCTGAATAACAACCTACTACAAACCCCTTGGGAACAAACAGATATCCATAGATCCATAGATTGTAAGGCTGGAAGGGACTTTGGAAGATCATCATGTCCAGCCCCCTGCACCAAGCAGGAAATAACAGGTGACCCCAGTAAGGTGCCCGTCCAGTCTCCTCTTGAAGATTTCCAGGGTAGGCGATTGTATCACCTCTGGAGGTGGCTTATTCCAGAGTCTGGACACCCTAGTTGTGAAGTAGTTTTTTCCTAATGTTGAGCCTGAAATCGTCTTCCAGGAGTCTGTGCCTATATAACCCTGGCAGCAGCACTACCCACCAGCCACGTCCAAATTTTTGGGATCCTGGGGTGACAATAGGTCTTGGTCTACTCCCACTCTGTCTACAGGCTGAGAGCACCACTCACAGGAGTGCTCTCCTGTGGTCCTCCCACACTAGACCACACACTAAATAACTATTTACAATAATTTATTATTTACAATAATGACTGGGAGATTGTTATTTATGGGATGTCAAATTTGCCAAACAAAATATTTCAATGAGCTCAATAATAATCTATACCAGCAGATAAAGCAAATACTTATCATATAACAAAAGCAATTATGTTATCAACTTTAACACTCAGGCAACTTACAGCAGGTATATACACTTAGTCAACCAGGTCTCCACAAAATCACTCTGCCTGCAGCAAAGTAGTCCACTGTGCAGTGGCTGCAGTGGAGCCCTAGGGAGCAGTGCTCGCCCCGCCTCAGAAGAGGGGTGGCAATGCCGTCATCCGAACAGAAGATGGGGCTGCCTGTCAGGACCTCAGGTGTGCCTGCTCCAAAGACCAGGGTTTCTTCCCTTTTCCAGTCTTTCCTGGATGCCTGCAATCAATCACACCATTCCCCAGACACTTCCCAAGGCAGCTCCCATGTTTGGCACCTGGAGTGGCCCTTCTCAGCTGTACGTTATTGAGCTCTCTGCTGGAGGTCCCCCACAGCCACGATTCCCTGCTGCTTTCTGCAGCTCCCCCAGACAATCTCCTCAAGCAACCCCCATCCCCGATTCCCTCCAGTGACTCCCTGCACCCGGGGCTCTTAAGAGTGAGGAGGGGAACCCGTTTGCACAACCCCTGCTCCTTCTGTAAAGGATACCAGGCAATCCTGGGTACTCATTAGCATGTACTGTATTTCCTCAGCAGCAGGTTGAGTTAAAAGACAAGGAGGGATATCATCTCTTACACCCTTTCCCTCTAATGGGAGCATACGTACTCCGAGTTCTGTTCCTTCTGAAAACTTTTATGTCAGATGCTTATCAGAAAGCAAGAGTACATGAGCCCACGCATGGCTTATCTGGCTCTGAATCATCTCAACAGAAGACTCAGGCAGAATGTAAACATTCAGCACTACTCTGCACTGCATGGTACGCCACACCTGCTCAAACAGGCCTGAAGGAGACAGGTGGTGAGCACGCATATTGAACTGTGAGGGGTGTTTGCCATGACAGATCATTCATCAAGGGCTCCTTGGAAGGCCAGATAAGCAGCCTTGTCTGTGAGGAAGCCTTGCAGACAGGCACCCTTGAAGCTGAAATCTTTTAGCATCCTAACTCCCCTGGAGCACATGCAACCTCAGTTATTGAACACCATCTTTTGAAGCCTTTCTGTCCTATATGCAAGCCAGCATATCTCTATGCATATCAATCCTCATTTATACAGACTGATTTTCTGCCACTCACGCAATCTGGAGAGTTGGGCTCTACCAGAGTCCTGTTTGCATAGGACCAAATCAAAGCAGTGCTCTGGGCCAGTTATGCCATATACACAAAAGAAATGAAGGTCTCCGTTTGGCTTGCTGCCACAATCGTTTCATTTGGTGAATTTCAGACTATAGCCCTTCTCCCCTATTTCCTCCAAACCACTTCTGAAAGCCATCTCTTTACAAAGCATCTCTGCTAGAGTTGGTTGGAAAATGGGAATATTTCCCCAGCAGCAGTATAAAAACAAAAACAATCTGTATTTTTACCTGTTGGAAAAAGAAATATCTGCTGTCAAAAAACTGAATTTTTCTATTAAAAAAATTAGAGATTTGGGGGAGGAAGGGGAGCAAAAAGACACCTCTAGTGAAAACTTAATATTCTGTCTAGAAAAAAAAGTTTTGATGGGCTCTAATTCCAGTTGTGATGATTACATGAGAGCCTGTATATATACTGAATCACACTAGCTGGTACTCTCAGGCTACAGGCCTCTCAAGGCTTTGCTGCTCATCTGAGTTTGTCTAGGATACAGAAAGCTGGTTCGTAGAAATTGCTTACCACCTGGTCATGACCCCATCCCCTCCCTTAGAGTTCCCCATCTCAAAACAGGAACTCTTGCCATCACATGCAGCCAGCTCTGAATCAGGGTGAGCACCCCAGGCCCTGCACTTTAGGGGTCCCCAAGGAGCTGGGCGGAGTAGCACAACAACTCTGCACTGCCGCCAGCTTCACATCCGGCCCCTCGGCACCCTCTTCTCCCTTGGGCTGTTACCCACCAGCATGTCCGGCCACTCACCACCCACCCCCCCCCATCACCACCAAATCTGCCGCCGGCTTCCTCGTGTTCAGGGCCGGGGCTCCATACAGGCCGATTTGCCCTGGGCCCCACACCCTGCTCGGGTTGTCTCTGCCAGCAACAAAAGACCATTTGGATATTTACTAGCATCTCTGAGAGCATTCCCAAGTCATAGAATCATAGGAAGTGAGGGTTGGAAGGGGCCTCAGGAGGTCATCTAGTCCAACCTCCTGCTCAAAGTAAGACCATCCCCAACTAGATCATCCCAGCCAGGGCTTTGTCTACCCAGGTCTTAAAAACCTCCAAGGATGGAGATTCCACCACCTCTCTGGGTAACCTGTTCCAGTGTTTTACTGCCCTCCTAGTGAGAAAATTCTTCCTAATATCTAACCTAAACTTCCCTTGCTGCAACTTGAGACCGTTACTCCTTGTTCTGTCATCTGTCACCACTGAAAACTGTTTAGCTCAATCCTCTTTCAAACCCCTCTTCAGGTAGTTGAAGGCTGCTGTTAAGTCTCCTCTCAGTCTCCTCTTCTCCAGACTAATAAGCCCAGTTCCCTCAGTCTCTCCTCCTAAGTCATGTCCCCCAGCCCCCTTACCATTTTTGTCACCGTCTGCTGGACCCTCTCCAATTTGTTCACATCCTTTCTGTAGTGGGGGGCCCATCACTGAACACAGCACTCCAGATGTGGCCTCACCAGTGCTGAATAGAGGGAAATAATCACTTCCCCTGGCGTACTGGGCTGCATTGGTAAATCTGTTGCCAGTAGGCTGTTAGCCTTCTTCGCAACAAGGGCACACTGCTGGCTCATATTCAGCTTACTGTGCCCTATAACCCCCAGGTCCTTTTCTGCAGAGCTGCTGCCCAGCCAGGCATGCACTTTTAACCTTCCAATTTTTTTACTTCCTACCACTGCCAGATGAACTGTCAGTGAGGAATGTAAGAACGGATTCCAAAAACGTATGTAAAATTAAACAGATATACTGAAGCAGCTTTTTAAAAAAAGGCATGCAGGACAAGCCAGCCCCCAATGGTGACAGCTGGAATTGGCCCCATCACCATCCACTTCCATGAGAGCTGGAGCTGGTGAGGCTTGCACATTGCCAAGGGCAATCCAGAGAAGGAGCATATCCAAGGAAGGAGTGGGGGGATGCATCGTTGTTCCTCCTCAGGAAGGCCACATTACCTTTTTCTGCCGGTAGAGGATTTTCTCCAGTTCCTGCTCCTTGCTGCGCAGCTCTTTCTGCAGCAGGCTGCTCTTTTCATGCCTCAGTGACTCCTGTGTGGGGGGTAAAGGGCCACAGCTCTTCATTCTGTACAGTGGCCGGGGGCTAATACTTCCAAACATCAGGGCATGAAAGAGATGATAACGCCATCCTCTGCCCTAAAGTCAGCGGCTAAATCAAGGTTTCCCAACTTTTTCCAGCCCAAGGCGCACACATAACCATTTTCCGTAGCACACCTGTTAAAGCATTCCCCATCCTCATACCTATTGTAGATCATTGCCATGGCTGAATTCCACGGCGCACCTGTTCATTTCTGATGGCACACTTTTGTGCCGCGGCACGCTGGTTGGGAAACACTGTGCTAAATGACACTCAACCCCTGGCTTCAGAGTTGGGAAGGGTTTAGGCCTTTCCACTTGGAAAGAAGGATTTACCTGACAGAGCAGTCTCTCCCTTTCTACTTTGATCTGCTGCTCCATTTCTTCATAAAGGCACCTGACTTCTCTGTCATGATCTGTCTCCTTCCTACAAAGGGGTAGTGAAAAGAGAGAGAGAGAGAGAATGTAAATGTGGAAGAGGAAGAAATGGAAAGGACAAGGAATGGGAAAATTTTACTGAATAAGAAAGGTGTGTGTGTTAGGGAAGACGGGGGTGTTGAAATGAATTCAGGATTCACAATAAGAGCTGCCCAGGTTCCCAGAGCTCCAGGCTCATAGACAGCTAAAGGGATTCTAATACTACTAGAAGTCTTTATGGGTGCATTTTAACTTGCACCCAATTTTATTTTTAGAGTAAACCTATCCCTAGGAGCTAGCAAGCTGCTATGCATTAATGTAATATCATTCTGAGGAGAATGGGATAGGGTAGACAAGCCACCATTATACCTAGCACAGAAGTCCCCGTTTGCTCATCCAGCCTAGCTAGCATCAGGTTTTCCTGGTATTTCAGGAAAAATGGTGAGCTAGGTTGTATAGAACGAGCCTCAGTTGGTTCCCTGGAGGCCACAGACGAGTGACCACACAAGTCTTCTTACCTTTTCAGTGCCTGCTCCATCGATTCCCTCTCCTGATTCACCTCCCTGATGTACGAGGAGACACGGAACAGGAACTCCTCAAAATTGGCCAAGAGCTCTGGTCGTTCCTTCCGGAGCCGAGCCCACAGCTCCCGAACCTCACTCTGACTGGAGCAAACATCCAAGAGGGAAGGGAGACAACAGGGGCATTTCCAAGTTATCACAGGATTATGCTTGCTTTTCCTCTCTCATATGTCCAAGAGGAGAGGGGTGCTCCCCCTCAACTTCCCGGGCAGCATTGGAAGGGGCTATGATACTGAGATCAGGACCTGGACAGGAACCCAACGTGTCTGACACAAGAACTATTTGGATTGGTGAATGGTGTGAAAACTCCCTCCCAGCCTCCTCACCTGTTCCCCTCTCGCTCTCATGTGTCTATCAATCCAGTTACTAGGCAGCCAACTCGCTGCCACTGCCCACGCGATGGGCCTCAGGTAAGAGGGTGCGAGTGTAACCTCTCTACTGTTTTGAGCTCTGACCTCATGACCTGAAGGCAGGGACTTAAGGCCATGTCACGCCATTAGGTAACTGTGATGTTTTTCAAATCGATTGGCTGGCATCAAATGACACCTGACCTTGACTGGGTCCAGGTGCTGAGGTCAGGAGGGTCCGTGCAGGAAGAAGAGAGGTGGACGTTTTAAAACACACACACAGAAACATGGACCTCTGCAGCTCTCCCTCATTCACTGGATGCAGAAGTGAGTAACTTACCAGAAACATAACTAGGAACTTAGTTTAATGTACTCTAGTTGTGTATCAAAAGGCTACCAAGCTACTTCTGTTTGCTCAGGGTTATTCTTTTGGTACTTCTCTGACTTGTACCCCTCCCCATGCCTACCCTCTCTACCCAATAAAGCTATCCGTTATAGCCAGCCTTGTTGTACATGCTTGAGAGGGATTGGGCAAGCCTTCTTGCTCCCTGTACTCAGCTGACTAAGGGAGGCCACTTTCTATGCTTCAGGCTATGAGAAGCACCCAGATATATTCTGCTGGGGTTAAGCAACCCTTAGGTCTACAGGGTCTATGTGTCCTGGGCAGCACAGGGCACAGACAAAGACCAGAGTCTGGATGGTGGCAGCAGTACCCTAGGCTTGCAGGTGTGCTCCAAGAAGGGGGTTGGCCATAAGTTGGCACCCCTGGGGAAGCATCCAAAGTTTGGTTTTTGGCAGGGTGCAGTGAGGCAGGTGGCTCAGCACAGGAGTGCCCCCTACTGGCCCACCACAGATGGTATCAATGAATTAAGAGAGGTGCTTAGCCATGTTAGTTTGAAGTCAGAGTAGATATGCATCTTTATAGGCTAACTAAATAATGAGCAAGAGAGTGAGAGAGCAAGCTCTCTCATGTACTTTTACAGCATCTTCTGAAGTGAACTTGGGCTCACAAAAGCTTGTGCACTCTCTCTCTCCATGTTATTTTGTTAGTCTATAAAAGGTGCGTATCTACCCTGCCTTCTATCAGTGAATGAAGTCATCATCTGAAAAAATTCACCCTAGCAAACAAACTGTGCATTGCTAACACCAAACTCTCAAATCTGGAGTGGGACCCCCAAGATCATGAGTTTGGCTTAAAACCTGGGAGACTTAAATAGTAATAAATTAGGTGCAACCCAGCAAGAAAAAAAAGCAATAATTCAAATATCTTCAGGCCCTTTACAAGTGTCAGCTTTCCACCACTCTTGCAAGGTAGAGCAGTCTGGCCCACATTATATTATAGAGGGGTCAACTGAGGTACCAAAAGCCCCACATCAAGCTCATGATGAAGCTAAAAATAGTAGCTGGGAGTTTTGTCTTCTACTCCACCACTCCAAGCACTAAACTGTCTTAACTTTTTTCTTTAAAAGGAAATTAAACTCCCTTCTCAAGAAAGGTTTAACCATTCATTTAAAAAAAATAAAATAATAATCACACATCCAGAAGCCACCCTTTAAATTATTTTTTCTTAGTGTGTGAAGGAAAGAACCTGAGATGTCTTTGAACCGCTGTATAAACAGTAATAACCCTGCCCCCCCACCCAAACCTGCTACTCTTCCCAATACCAAATGCAAGGTTTAAATGCTGTTCACACAGTCTTTTGGGATAAGTGCCATATTTTCATTCTACATTTGAACAGCACTTGGGGCAGTGGGAAGTAGTTCAAACTGGAAATCTTAGGTGCTACCACCATACAAGTTATAAACCAAGGTAAAAAAAAGACAGGTTAATTCTTAGCACTCTCAATTTAAAATAGCAATACTTAAGATGATGGAATTAAAGAGGGAATTTCAAAAGCATCTACAAGGGATATGAGCACAGAGCTCATTGAGAATCCAACAGGACACGTGCTTTTAATCTTATTACGCATTTGTGAGAGAATCTCCCCTTCCGTACTTACAAAGTACAAAACCCATTTGAGCCACAGAAGCAATGATAGTCAAGCTGGTCAACATTTTTCCATCCAGTTTTTATACAAGAGGAGGAAAAATGGATATTATTCAAATAAATTTTTAAAGGAAAAATTAATGTGTCATTTTCACTAGATATTTCACAATCCTTTTGTGAACTGAAACATGACCACCATTTTTTTCCAATTACCAAAAACTCCAGATCTTAGTTTAAAAATAAAATCCTCATTACCATTTAATGAAAAATAAGTTAATTTGATCCTTATGACACAAAAACATGACAAGTATAGGTGAGAGTAGAAGTAACACAAGGTTGAATTAATTCCATTTTATAAAAAGCAAGATGGCCAGATACAAAATCAAAACTGTAACCTTATTTCACAATGTTTCTGTTGAACTCAGAGAATGGAAGACTTTATCATCTAGTGGTTAAGGCAATGCAAAAATATTCCCATTAATTGTGCCAGCTCCTTTGCTCAATATTTCTTAGCAGAGAGACCTGGGAGCAGCAATGGCTGGGATGGGAATATTCTTGTGGCAGGAGTCACTATGTGGTGCTGTTGTACAATCAGGCACCTAGCCCTTTTTCTTTGTATGCGAGTGTTTTTAGTCCGAAAAGAAACGTTTGCAGTGGTGGTGGTGGTTCTTTTATGCTAGGTTCTGAAAAAGGAAGTGAAGAAAGAGCAGGAAATTCTGCTTCCTGACTATAAGCAGGTCTTGAAGTAGATTTACTGCCTGGGTACAGGACACTGGCATTAGCCTGAAACTACTCATAGAATGGATTTCCCTGCATGCTATTGGACTGCCACCGTTCAAATATAATTTGGATTGGAAGTCAAACATTAGTTCAGAGTATAATAAACTCAGTGTCAAAATTATCTTACAGTGAAGAAAAAAAAAAAAAAACCTTGGAATTCTCCCCAACCAGCATATAAGTAATGGCAGGGTTAGAAAGAAGCACAGGTATCAGGAGAAGAAGAATATAATAAGTTCTATTTACAGTACATCATAGGAAACCAGGCCTGGAGGGACCTCATACGGTCAGTGTCCAGCCTCCTGCTCAAGGCATGATTATCCCCAACTAGTCTGTCCCAGCCAAGTGTCTGCAGAACCCAGATGAGCTCAGTCTACAACCCAGGGGCTGGATCTGATCCATGGAGCCATGTCATCTGGGCCACATGGGTCTGAAAATGAGCCAGTGGGGGAGCAGTGACAGCAACCTGCTGCAGCTCTTGGAGTTCTGGACCCATAGGGAGCCCCACGTGCCAGATGACACTGGTGTGCAGGGCCACTCTGTAGACAGATCTAGCATGCAGGTATGGATTGGAATATGTAGTTGCTCTACAACTGAATCTAGCACACAAACCCTTGACTAGATCAAGCTTGGAGACTGACTTTGCACCACTCACTTCCACCTGAATGGCCAGATAGGTTGAGCACCGCTGGTCTAACCTGCTCTTGAAAATTTCCCAGGATAGAGATCCCACAACTTCACTAGGTACCCTGTTCCAATGCTTAAATACCCTCGTAATCAAAGTTCGTCTTAATTTCCAACCTACGTTTCCTCTACTGAAACTTGAGGCCATTGCTTCTAATTCTGCCCCCTTCAGCCCACTTCCAAGTCATTAAGTGGTTCTTAAGCAGGCATATAGTTCTAGCCCTGACACACAAAGCTTTCAGTTAAAGATTAAAAGGAATAATAATAATAAAAAAAGAGAGAATATAAAGGGTATAGTTTTTATCCAGTACAGCATTTTATGCCATTTAATCTATTTTTGAAATATTATTTCTTTAAGGACTCTTCTCAAATCAGAAAAAAAGGTTGTCCACAGGGACAGCCTTTAGGAGGAGTCTTTCTAATTTCTTTGGACATTAGCAGAAGACCATGTCACCTTAGCATAATGGTGAAGTTACAGTTCTTTACACAGGGTAGTTAGCTCTGTTCAGCTTCACTGGGTTTAATTTAAAAGGTATTTCACAGTAAATGTTGTTGTGAGATCCAGTGACCATTTCAAGATGCATCCTCTCCTGAGCCAACAGCGATAGGAAAAGCAGTGCTGGATACTGGTAAGAAGTTGGGCACTACAGCTTCTGACTGAGACACAGCAGCTTTCTAAGTGTCACAGTTCATGAGGTATCAGGTCATAGAAGTTGACATGGTAGCTGCATGTGTGACTACTAAATCCTGCTCCTGTACAACAGGATCCTAGGATCTCAGTGCAACCCTCCCCTGTTCATATTCAAGGGACAATCATGGAATAAGTCACCAACTAAAGAATCCGCAGCCACGTAGTTCAGAGAATTTTCTGTACACAGATAAATACCTCTACATTTGAAGAGCAGCTACAAAGGTATCATTTGGATCTGAATTATCTAGCATCCCTGGTGCAGAGATCCAAATCCCAGTAAGGTCTGTTTATCCCCTCATCCTTTAAGATAAAAATCAGTCCCAGGAAATGCAGCATGCACAGATCATTTTGAAAAAATACCTTGAAACGTAAGGTCTCCTGAATAAACAATGATACTATTTTTGACAAAGCAAGAGCTTACCCACAGCGTTCTCAATGTAAATCCCCATTGGCTGGTCGCTATCTCTTGGGCACTTTGACAACAGCTGTATGTCAAAATGGATAAATAAAAGTCTATAGCTTAGGAAACTCCCTGGGCAAGGTATTCTGTTAAGAACAGATCATGACCAGTCAGCTAAACTACTGTGACTGCAACCTGAAGAAGAGTGCATTGCATGAAAAAGCTTGTCTAATTATCCCAATAATCATGCAGTTGGTCCAATAAAAGATATCACCCACTTTCTGCATCACATTTCCATAGTAGCTCATGAATTCAGCACAAAAGACGGGATGAGGAAAGCCTATGCAACACTCCTAAAGCCATATCCCTGAAGATAACCAGCAGTACTTGATCAATCCCTTTGTGTTTCTGCTGACATGATATACTGCTATTATAAGAATACAACCAAATACAAGGCAAAAATCAGGGATGGTTCTCACTTACTCTTCCAAGACCTGGGCTGATCCAAGTTGCTCCAACATTGAACAAAATCGTTTCTCTTCTTCATCCTCTGTCTGATCCAGGTCATCTGACCATCCTGACTCAAAGGTCTCCTCATGTCTTGAGTGATCTGTACTCCCAGATCCTTGGAACAGATCGATCCCTATTAACTTCCCTGTTGGAGGGAGGGATGGGGGAAAGAAGGCATAAAAATCAGCTTTCCCAGTTCTGCTTGGGTAGCAACCTGAACCAGCTGTTCCTTGAGAACAAATCTAATGGTGCCTGTGCACTGTTAAATGAGCTTGCTGACTGAAAGCAACAATCCTTGTACAGTACCATTAAAAGAAAGCAGGAAACTGGCTTCTAATCTGTAACACTGGGCTCTTGTACTGCTCACATCACCAAACAATGTTGTTATCCAACAAGATGGTGGATATGAGCAGCAGGCACAGTACCTTGGGATTTTCAGAGGATGCTCAGCACTAAGCATTCACATTACCACTCCACTTCTGTATAACTAGAAGGGAAGGACACACCTGTGTGTGGCTGAGGCAATGGATGGGAATTGTGGGTTCAGTTCCCAGCTCTACCACAAACTCCTGTGAACCTACAAAAGCAACCAACATATATTTCCAGGCCCCATAGGAAAAATTAGGTCATAATCTTTTCTCTTTCTAACCCATTGTCTACATGTACAGAGAAACTGGAAAGGACCCAGAGGCAAAGATGATAAAAGGGGTTGAAAAGCAAGGAAAAAAGGCTGAAGAAACTAAGTATGCTTAGTTTAGGGAAAAGGCAACAAAAGGAGGGACATAACAGTTTTCAAATCTTGCAAAGACTACCATAAAAGATAACAATGCTTCTCCATCTTTGTTGCCACAGAGGGCAGGGGAAGTAACAATAGGCTTAAACTGCAAAGCAGGTTCAGATCAAATCTTGAGAAAAACTTTCTAACTCTAAACTCAGTTTGACAATGGAACAAGTTGTCCAGAAGAGCTGTGGGATCTCCTTCATTGGAAGGTTTCAAGCAGAGGCTGGGTGTGTCCTTGTCTGTGGTGGCTTAGAAATAGCGCATCCTGCCTCTTGGGTAAGGGGTTGGACTGAAAGGTCCATGAGGTCCCTTCCAGCCACATGATTCTATTTTGATGGTAGGTGCTGCAGGACAAGGACTGTGTCTTAAATGAGCTGGTACAATGCCTTCCAAAGAAAGTCTCTGAACAGAGTCACTCCATCCTTGCAAAAATGGCTTTAAGCCTGAGCTATGACCTAAGGGGTGTGGTTTTATGCTAGACAGGTAGCAGCTATTGCGAGCTAGGAAAAAGAGAGAGGGGGTGGGATGGATTTCTTTTTGAGCGAATAAACCAACTGATTTTCTCCATCACAAAAGACAAAGGCTTCAAGTGAGAAGGCGTCTTTATGAGCATTTAGTGATTCTGACTTTCTGCAGAACCCAGAGGCAATAGAATTGTGCTGTGTAACCTCAGCAGCAAGCCAATAACTTCTACTACTGCTGGAGCATCTCTTAAACAGGTGCCTGGTCTTGACTTCAAGATGGTAAGTATGAGGGGGGCACATCATTCTTCCAAAGCATGGAACAAGGAACCAGGAACTTTTAAGGTCTAATCCCAGCCCTACAACTGGTTTCTGACAGTAGGGAAGTCACTTAAGCCATCAATGCCTCAAGTCAATACCAGGGCTGGAATCTCAAAGCCACCAGTCCTAGTTCTAAACTGCATGTTCAGGCCAGGGGTCTCTGCTACATCTTTAGAAAGACAGCATTATGGGCTACTATTTGCATGAGACCTTATTAACAGGACATTGAGTTTTGTTTTATTGTGAATGAGGTCCCATCATTTCCTTGTCCCATATCCTCCTTGAACAGCCTTGATCAGTGGTTTCCAGGCATGTTCACAGAGATTAAGAGTACATCTGTCTCCATTTTTTGGACTGGTGAAAGTCCATAAATACAGAGCTGGCTGCCATTCTTTGACACACAGGAAATGTTTAAATAGGCTAGTCACACTACAATGCACACTCATGGTAGCAAGAGCTTACATTCCTGTAATTTGAGTGCCTGCTATGAACCTACAGGCTCAGCCCCAGCCTGTGGGTTGAAGCCCAATATGAAATATAGGCCTGCTGGGATCCCCACATGACTTGGCTAACTCATAAGCAGGGATCCTGATTTTCTCTGATAAAAAAAAAAAAAAAATCCAAAATTTTCTGATTTAAAAACGCTCAAAATCCACATTTTTCTGTGATTATACACACACATACAATATATAGTGGTGTTTTGTTTTAATTATGGAAAATGTGGTATTTGGGGTTTGTTTTTTTAAAACAAAATTTTGGATTTTTTTTTAAATCAGAGAAAACCAGGATCCCTGCTCATAAACCAGGTATAACATGGGAGAGCAGAGCACCTGGCACAGCTCATCCTCCAGCATTTGCTGGGCCTCAGCTACATGGCTCTGAGTACTATTACTAATGACAGTCACTACTTCAAAGAGCTAAAATCTTAAGCACTAATAAAGGAAACAATGGAACATCCAAGTGATACCTTTATCTTGTATACCTTTAAGCATGTGTATTTCTGTGGATTTTTATAAGGCCAGGCCCAGTTCAGCAAGGACTGCCAGAACCTCTGATACAAGAGGCTCTTCTGAAGGTCCAAAGCATGCTCTAATCTCTATTAAAGTCCTTAGAAAGGGAATTCCTATGACAGACACAGGGAGCCTGACAGACTATTGGGTAACTAATTTTACACTGGTCCAAAACTATTGGTATCAACAGGCACCCTCCCCACCTCCATATAAGCCTGGAGTAAGAGAACCCTTGTCTTTGCACAAAAGGTGGGTTTAAATGAAGTGAGATCAAGGGAAAAGCAGACACAAGGACTAAAGGCCTTGTCTAACCCACAGACTTACCCCAGTTACAGAACAGCATGGTTGGGAAGCTCATAGAGAGGCCAGTACTTGAGATTTGTCTGTAATCTGGAGAAGAGAAGACTGAGGGGGGATTTAAAAGCAGCCTTCAAATACCCCTGAAGGTGATTCCAAAGAGGATGGAGCTGGACTGTTCTCAGTGGTGGCAGATGAGAGAACAAGGAGCAATGTTCTTAAGTTGCAGCAACAGAAGTTTAGGTTGGATATTAGGAAAACATCTCAGTAAGGGGGTGGTGAAACACTGAAATGGGTTTCCTAGAGAAGTGGCGGAATCTCCAACTTTGAAGATTTTTAAGACCCGGCTAGACAAAGCCTTGGCTGGGATGATCTAGTTGGGGACGGTCCTGTTTTGAGCAGGGGGTTGGACTAGATGACTCCTGAGGTCCCTTTCAACCCTCATTTTCTATGATTTGCACATGGGGGCTTATACTTAGGTTCAAGGGTAGGTCAGCTCCACTGGTAAAGAAAGCCGCTGTGCTTGCTTGCACCAGAACTGTGATTCATGGAGCTGGCCCAGGGCTTCCCACGCATGGCAATCACTCTGGGGATTTGCCCCTGTTATAAGGGGGCAACAAAGTTCTAGCCTTTTCCCTTCAAGAAGTCAGTACTGCACATGGGAGCACCATGACAGCCACTTGAAGTGATGGTGGCACCTAAGAGGCTCCTGTCCCAGGACCTCATGAACAAAACACAGAACAGGCATTCCTGAGGTACTAGATGTCCCACCTGCAACAAAGAGCCCAACATAGCTTTAATGGGCAGGCTCCATGTTCTTGGGAAGGGAAATATGGAGGAGTACAGCTGGCCTCTGGCATGTCCTTGCTCTTACAGAGCATTTGTCCTTGCCCAGAGCTCAGGGAGCTGGCACCATCCTACGTGTGCCACTTGTGCTCATGCTCAGGGAATGCACAAAGCAGTGCTCTAAAAGATGAGCTGCAAGAGTAGGAACCACTAACAGGACAAACTACCTGCTCCCATCCCACTGAATACCCAACACAGGCATTCACTGAGCCAATACCCTGGGTTCTGAACAATGAAGCCAGCTGTGTTGCTTTTCAAAGCCCCTCTGAGAAAAAACTTCAGAGCTTCTCTCCTATTCATGAAGGAGGGGAGGGGCTCCATTTTGGGGTAACCGCCTAGAAACACCAAAAAACCCAGGGGGCCTAATTCTAATTTCCACTCTCTGGGGGGGAAAAATCAAAGTCCCTTTAGAAGCTCTTAGATCGATGGCCGTCTGTTTGTGTAGAGGGTAATATATTAAAATCTGGACCAAAGTTTTTTTTTTTCCCCAGAAGCAACTTTGAGGCACCTGAAATCAAACTCTCCACCTATTCAAGCAATGCAAGTTCATGGGTACCAAGATGCCTTTTAAAAAAGCAACAAAGCTGACTGGGGGTGTATTTACAGAGGCTTTATGAACAGCTAAGAGAAAGAAGTGCCCAGTGTAGAGATAGGTCATTGTTTTTCTTTATTGGTTGCAGCTTGTTCTGCCAGGGCTGCTGCTGATGAGGTCTTCTTTACAGCACCAGCATTCTCCTAGCAGCTAATAAAGGCGTACAGCAGCCTGTAGGAAAACAGATCTGCAACCGTAGTTCTGTGTTATCAAGTGAGCTATACTTCTATCAGCATATTTG